GGGGGAGGGGGGGGGACAGGGCTCGACGGAGGCGTTTGTGGAGCTGTCGGGAAGATGGTGTGGGAACGAGGTGGGTTTACTTTTGTTGCCGAGGGCATGAGCGGCAACAAACCTTCGGTTTCCGTCCAGGAGGATGTTGCTTTTAAAGAGTTAGAATGTGTTTGTGACGATGTGAGGTGGGTTGTCTCCGGGGGCTTCGCTTGTAGTGTTCGGCGGCGGCGGCGGCGGTGGGGGTGGCATGCATGATACGTTTTTCCTGTTGAGTGCATTCGGCCACGATGGGACGTCCACTGTCTTCACTCGCGGGGGGCGGGGCATGTTTCGTGGTCTGATCCGGAATGTGTCTTCCGGCACGTGGAAAGAGGTAGCGGGACGAGCTTGTTACGGCTGAACGAAGTGGCTTTTTTCTCGGGTGCCTTCATCTTTCGCGATGTGTAGCTCCCCAAAGGGCATGCCGCGTCCCCGACCTCCCTTCCAGTAGCACGAAAACCTCAATCGCGTGCCCCCCCCCTTAACCGAAGCAACGATTGGCCATCGGTGATCGGTCCTGTGGGAACAATGCTCCGTCCTCTCGAGGACGCGTGGTCAATGGTCTAACCGCTAAGGCATGCAAAACACAAGAGTACGCCCCCCCCCCCCCCCCCCTCCCCTTTTTCTCCGACTTCGGACAGCTCCTCGCGTTAACGTGGGTGGAAGTGTCGAAGACTTTGGAAGCGCTGGAAGCGGCCCAGGCGGGACACAGGACAGCGTTAGGCCGCCTCCGAGATGCTAAACTACAGGTGTGATGCCCCCCTGACCAAAAAATCCACACAGCCCTCGCGTGGAATCGCCAGCGGTCAGCAGCATGTCGTCGCGCGCACCTCCCTGTCTTGTATTGTTTGTGTCTTGCGCTTGTTTTTTCCACGTGAGCTGTGCTGTTTTTGTGGTCGTACGGAGAGCATTTCGACAGAACCACTTAGCTCTTGGCGGCACTGGTGGCAATGGTGGTGGTGGTGGGTCTGCTGCTGCTGCTGCCTGTTGTATGTAAGCTTGAGTCCTACAACGGCATGACGGGAAATGTGATCGAAATGACAGCGATGGCGAAGACAGCGACACTGCCGGGTACTACCCAACGCCCCCCCTCACTCACACACCCCCCTCACCTCTCACGCCTATGTAGCCACGCCGTCACGCTCCTTCATAAGTTCGCTGAGCAGACACTGCCGTTACACGCTCTCTTCAAATGACGCAAACTACGCTCAAGGTGGCTTTGAGTTCTATGCAGCGCCGGCATGCAAACATATGGCTTGTCCGCAATGTTCTAGCTTTGCGAAAATGTGTCATCCTCCCGTTTCCCAACCCGACAAGCGCCAACGAACCGCCCGGGCCGCTCGCCAAGGGGGGTGTGCCCGAGAAGGTTCTATCCTCTTTGTTGCACGCGTTTTTCATGCACTACTCTTTTCTTCGTGTCCTGTTCTTCTCCGCAGTATGTACTCCGACTACGTGAAAAAAAAAAAAAAACTCGTTTTGCCCGGACGCGAAAGAACAATCCCCGGACTGGTCCTGAAGTTCTTGGCGTTCCCTCCCCTTGGGGGCGTCCACCCGCCTACCCGCGCGCGATGCTCCGCAGGTGGGCACGCAGCAGGAGGAGACAAGCGGCGCAAACCAAGTCGCGGACGACCTCCGCCAGGTGAACGGTCCTCTAGTCTGCTTCATGGCAGTCTCTGTTTTTGTTTGGCGAGGTAGCGCTTGTCGTTGTTTGGCCGCGAGGTGCTTTGGCTCCGCCCATCTGTTGCAAGGGCGTAGTGGCTCCACGTCTTCGGCTAACACGTGTTGGCCAACGCGGTGTGTGGCTTTGTTGTGTGTGTGTGCTTTGTCGGATAGCGAATAGAACATACGCGGCCTGGTGCCTCTCCGATCGATCGGGTTGCCGCCTCTGTTTTTGGGCTAGGCGTGACAAGCGTTTCTCGTTTGACGTCGCGGTGTCGCTCTCTGTTGCTCTGGCCTTGCCTCTCTCTTCCAACGGTATGTTGAAGTTCGTTGATTTGCTTTTTTGTCTTCGCGCTTCGGGGGATTGATTGGTTGATCCTTCGACTGCCATCATCCAACCAACAATGAGTGTGTTTGCCTGTGTGCGTGTTTCTATTAGCATCGACAGCGCTAGCCGGATGACAAAAAAAAAGAGTTCACTCTGCTAGCGAAACAACAAACCCGAACACGCTTCCTAATCGACGGGTTCTACCCAAAGGGGGGGAAGGGCAGGAGTTGGACGACAGTGCTACTTCTGAGGTGTTGGAAAACAACTCAGTGCGAGAAGCTGTGTGTCTGTGCATTGTCGGATAGCGAACAAAATCCACAACAAAACGCGCGGCGGTTTGTGTCCAGGCCGCCCTGATTTGACCCCATCTCTTGTTTTATTTGCTCGGTCTTGTTAGGAGTTGTCCCGAATGAGAGACGTGGAGGTCCGGCTTCAGTCAACTGCGGCGCAATTAAAAGCTGCCAGGTGAGGCAGTACACGCACACACAGCTTCGGCCGCCCTGAGACTAGCGTAGTTTCATCGGTCAGCCGGATAGCCCGGGCAATGCCAATAACACAGATACGCATGTGCCTTTTCCGCGTTAAGCGGGCGCTGTTGTTGTCCTTACGTAAGTTGCGTTCCCCTGTCGTCCACCAGAGGCTAGTCACTTTTCTTGTGTTAATGCGTCTCTCTCTCTCTCTCTCTCTCTCTCTCTCTCTCTCTCTCTCTCATACTCTCCCTCAACGAGGGTTTCCCCTACGTCGGGGAAGGCGTTCGTCCGTCCCCGCCTCCCTGGCACGAGGGTAACCGCTATGTACCGCAAGGCGTCAGCTTTGCTTTGGTATTTTCGACTTTGGCAACGGGAAGGCAAACCTTCTCGGCTGTCACACCCTCGCCTTTCTGTTCTCGTGTTTATTTTGTCCTTCTACATCTCCGCCCTCGCTGCCGGAAATATGCCGTTTCAACCGCACCGTTCCGGGGGGCACCGCGGTATCGGTACAACGACGCCCCCCTCCAGATTGGTCGCGAACCCGAGGCCTTGCTTTGGTACTGCGATCGATTTTTACACGTAAAATCGTCATCGCTTGTTTGAACCGGCACTCATGTAGGGAGTTCTTCGTTTTGTGCTTTTCTCGAGACCCGAGACGGGCTTGTCGCCCTCTTTTTTGTCATCCTCTTGACGCTGCCCGCCGCCTACGCTGCCGCTGCTGGCCCCACCTTTGCCGCTCCTCTGCAACCCCCGATGGCAGAGAAAAAGAACGAAGGCAAAGGGTTCACGTGGACGCGGTGTGGTCGCAGCTGTCCAGCATCGGTGCCGTCTCCCCAGGTGGCCTCGAGGACAGCAATATCGACGACAAGGACAACAGCGAGCTGTTCCCGGGCCGAATAGGTTGCCCCGCGGGAGAGAGCGGCAGTGGAGTGGCAGTTGTAGAAGGGGGTTCGATTGCCGGCGGTGGCCTGGATGACGACGCCAGGCTGTCGGAGATCCCGCGAGGGATTCGGAGATTGGTATCGGTGAGATGTGAAGGAGACAATGCAACACCCCGTCCATCCTCACCTGCGTTTCTTCTGAACCGCGAAGAACGGGCCCCGGCCGTATGGTTTGAAGCTCGCGTTTGTCCGCGCATTGACTCTTTCCCGCTTGTTCTGATTTGTAGAATAATAGTTGCTGTTACCTTCCTATATATGTATCTTTTTTCACTGAAGGCCGAGCATTGCATCGGAGGCCTATTTTTCATGCACATGGCTCTACGAAAGCGATCTTTGTGCGATCTCGTCGTCTAGCGTGACTGGATTGACTAGCGTAACCACTTGTTGAGTCATGCACGTGACACACGAGCAGCCGACCCAACCAACGACCTGCCTCCCACGGTGGTGGAGCCGCAGTATTTTGCCGAGTGTAGAGTTATTTGTTTCTCCTCTATCCCCCCATTGTGCCGCGTTGAAGAAACTCCTTCCTTCTTGCCTCGGCGTGATTTCGTTGGCACGTATACAGCAGTCGCGGCTCCAATATAAGAGGGTACCTGGTGGTATGTTCTACGATTGGAAGAGGTTCGAAATCGTTAGCCACGGAACCCTTCCCGCTGCACCGTAGTTGGGACCCACTTATTCAGGTAGAAGAGGGGGCTCCCACATGAGAGGGTCGAGGGCCTTTGTCGCTACACCCGACGTATTATGACGGAACCAAGACTGTAATTAAATCTACACACTACACAGGAGTGGTCCGACCGCGGCAAAGGGTTGGAAACCTTGACTAGGCGTTTGCGGGAAGAGGGGGCGCGGCGAGACGAGGAGAGGGCGGAGCTGGAGACCGCCGCTGCCGCCGCCAGGGAGGAGGCAGAGGCCCGGGGGGAGGAGGTGGCGAGGCTGGCGGTGGATTTCGAGACTAGGGCGGCGTGCGCAGAAGCGGGGATGGACGAGAAGGTCGGTCTCGACCTCGGCGGGATGGTACATACTTTTTGGCGTTGCGGTGGGGTTTGTGTCCTACTCCTTTTTACTACCCCCCGCTTCTGTTTGATATTTTGGACCAATCAATGTTTTTGTTTCTCGTTTGAGATTTGGGCCCGTGTGTTTGTTCAGCAGGCGCGTGTTTTGGCAGTAAGTGGCTCAGCAGGCGAGTGGTTTGCAGTCGTAGTCGTTGCAGACGGCAGGCTGCCTGGCTGATGGATTTTGTGACAGTGTGGGTGAGCCTCTCTCCGCAGATCATGAAACCCATATTCCACGACCAATAAAAAGCAGCTGCACTACAACTCCCCCCCCCCCCCCCCCCCCCCCCCCC